TGGTGACCAAGAAGCTGATGGTCACTCTAGTTGAGCTCAATGATCATATATGCAGATGGGAGAAACCTACAGAAGGACAAACATCACTGCAACACTCCACCGATCTGGGCTTTATGTCGGAGTGGCCAGACTCAATCTTCTCCTCAGTGAAGACACACGAAAACCCACTTGGAATTTGCAAAAAAGCACCTAAAGGACCCTTAGACGCTGAGAAACAAGATTCTCTGGTCTAATGAACCTCAATTCCAAGCATAGTGTTTGAAGGAAACCAGGCACTGCTCATCACCTGCAGAGTACCATCCCAAAAGTAAAGTGTGCTGGTAGCAGCCTCATGCTGTGGGGCTGTTTTTCAGCAGCAGGGATTGAGGGGCTCGTCAGAGTAGAAGAAAAAGCAGTTTAACATAAGGCTGCAACATAACAAAACGTGAAATAAATGAAGGGGTATGAATACTTTCGCAAGGCACTGTATTTAGCAAAAGTGCTCCTCTCTAGTGTTCATTTTTCTAACTAATGAGTTTATGATCACCAAATAAGTTTTTTTTCTGAGGTAAATGTAACGTTACGTGACATTGTTTACAAGCTGTTATATTGACATCTTTATGCGAACGTTGCAGTTGTGTTGCTATCTATGGAGGGCCTGAGAGCTCTCGGATTTAATCAAAAATACCGTAATTTGTGTTCCGAAGATGAATGGAGGTCTTACGGGTTTGGAACGACATGAGGGTGAGAAATTAATGACAGAATTTTCATTTTTGGGTGAACTAACCCTTTAAAGCAGAGACATCCCGCTGCTGCTTCTCTTGAACTGAGGTGCTGCAGCAATCTGACACTTCTCAAATTAAACAGCACCAAAACGGCATTTATTCTTTGAATACTGTGATAAAATGGACAGAATTTAAAATCTGAAACTTTTTCATATGAAAAGTAACAGAGAACAAAGCTTATTGCGATTTATTGGATGGGAGCCATGCTACAATGTTGACTGAAAACAGGCTAGACTAATCGATTTTTGGAATTTAAGAATTGATATTCTTTCGTAAAAATGAGAATCGATTTAAATCGAGAAATTTATCTTTTTTACCCAGCCCTATTACCAACAAGCAACTTAGAGGGGAGTTTTGAAACACTCACATTTGCCTCAGAAAATCTAATTTTAGTTAAGTTAGGATGCTAAAGAGTTTTTAAATGGAAGTTTCAACCTTATTTGCTACTTAGTGTCAGAATAAACCTTGAAAAACCTGAAGGGGGATGAAACAAGACAGAAAGTAAATTGAACCAACTGGATTAGCTGATCGTCCAATCGGAGACATACTTGTCCTTGTTCCGTGAGGTTTAGTACCGAAAGTTTCTATATGCCGTTTTTTATAGCAGGATTTTTTTTTTTAAAGGGAATGCTGTTCCACCGAGGTTTGCGGCTCAAAGCTGGTCTTATCTGCTCCCAGGTGTTGGAACTGTGGTGTTTGAGGAACAGAGTGGGGTCCACAGGTCTTCACTGGATGTAGACAGGGGTTAACAAGACAGGGTTTTACACCAGCTCAGCTCATGCAAGTCTAACTCCTACTCACAGCCGCAGGCAGAACAGAGAGAGCAAGAGATGAGGAGAAATGAGAGAGGGGTGAGAAAATACTGCAATTATGAAGCAAGTGTTGCACCGAGCCCTTGTGCGTGATGGTGAACGGCAGCGCTTTATCAATTATTTACACAGCACAGGTCATTCTCTACTCTCGTCACAGATTTTGACCTGTTTTGAGCTACACTAGACCCTTTTATATCCACATCACAATGTGCATCACAATTATTTATGTTACTATTAAAAGCATTTGCAAGCATTTTTTAATTCGGTAAAGCAGCATATTTCTAGGTGAAGCATATTCTATGTGGGAAAAAAAAATGTAGGATAAGACTTCATTTAACCATCGGGAATTGATCATGAACAATTGCCTATATATGGCTGGTGGTTGAAAAATAAGAGGGCATGGTGACCTTAAAGTCATTTCAGAGGCATAGAAAGAGGCATACATGTAAGACCAGGTTTAAATAGGGTTTCAATGTTGACTTGAGGGATATTGCCCAGTGCTGTCTTGGTCTTGTCATGGACTCTGAAGCATTTGAAGCATTCAGTCTTGACTCGGACTACAACACTGCAGATACATTTTCTTTTTCTCGCACATATGATCACACTGTGCTGGACCAGAGCACACTATTTATACACTGTGGAGGCTCGCGTGACACTGACTGAAAACTAGGCTTCATTCACCCCAGTGGAAAGCATATTTACACTGTCTGAATTGTTCAGACTAGGGCTGTTCATTTCGGTTATTTTTCCTAACCGACAAGCGACGCTTGTTAAAACCGATTGTTAACCGTTAACCGACAAGATAATTTTAAATTAGAATTGAATTAAATTAGAAAGGATAAGTGTCTGTGACCCATTAAAATAATACTAACATTTGTTTCCCGGGGATTAATTTTAAATGCGCAAAAAGCAGCAAACAACAGAACATGAGGATTCACATGGTCATCATATCACATCACGCACCTTCAGCGCTTCTGCGAGCGAAGAAAAACATAATAAAGCTAGGATATATACAGTATATATATATATATATATATATATATATATATA